GGGGGATACATAGAGTCCGACAAAATCGACACTTAAACATTCTGCGCAACATTCATTTCCCAAACCACACTAAAAGACCTTTTCAACATTAGCACAGTGACGAAAAGGGTGAACAACAACAGACCGGAAAAAGTTGCTTTTAATCAACCTGTCGCAGGCCGCCAGCCGCCGCCAGCCCAGGCGAGAGGTGAGGAGCGGAGACAGCGGCGAGGCTCCCTTCCTCACCTCTCACCTGGCAGGCGGCCTGCGCAGACCGAGGCGGCCTGGCGCGGTCGGTCTCGGAAGGCGATTTTGCAGAGCTCTGAACCAAACCACCCAAGACACTTGAATAAAATGTAGGTCGTATACTTTTGATATTGTTTACATTTTATGCAAGTTTTCATTAACGTTTGGGTTACTGAAAGGAACTGTTGCCTGCCTGTTGTTCTTCACCTTGTTCTTCACTTCGCTAATGTTAGAGTTGGAAGTGTCCATTGGCAGGTCGACTTCGTCTGTCGTGTTACCCTACGTCCCTGTTTGTTTACCCTGTTTGTAGCCACAGTCGAAATGGCCACCGACAGCTGCATCCGAACCGACTATTGCGATGACTTCGGCCGGAATTCATCCAGTGTCCCAAGGGCCCAAACCAGCCCCTTGCGGAGGGGGTGTAGGCAACAGGCAACCCCTCGGGTCTTGAGCGTCCAACCCGCTAGGCGCCGGCAGAGAGGATGTGGGCAACCCAGCAGGCAGCAGGGCTTGCGCGGCAACAGGACGGCCTACCCGCTTGGCGCCTGCGGAGGGTGCGTAGGCAACCCATCAGGGCTTGCGCGGCAACAGGACGGCCTACCCGCTTGGCGCCTGCGGAGGGTGCGTAGGCAACCCAGCAGGGCTTGCGCGGCGACAGGACGGCCTACCCGCTTGGCGCCTGCGGAGGGTGCGTAGGCAACCCAGCAGGGCTTGCGCGGCGACAGGACGGCCTACCCGCTTGGCGCCTGCGGAGGGTGCGTAGGCAACCCATCAGGGCTTGCGCGGCAACAGGACGGTCTACCCGCTTGGCGCCTGCGGAGGGTGCGTAGGCAACCCATAAGGGCTTGCGCGGCAACAGGACGGCCTACCCGCTTGGCGCCTGCGGAGGGTGCGTAGGCAACCCCGCGGGGTTCGCGCGTCCAACGGGACGGCCTACCCACTAGGCGCCCGGGGGCCGTTAGTGGGGGAGGGGACGTAGGCATTTACTTAGCTCGCGCTCGCGCTTGGTTGCCTGGCGGATGAAGCTCGGGTCATCCAAAGGGGTTCTGGGGCCCCGGGGCCCGGGTTGAATTTCGTCTGAAAAGAGAATTATAGTCGCTTCGGATGATTAAACTGCCTGTGGACCCCGCCGTCGGTTTTGACAAATTCTGTTTCTCTCGGAACAACGGGAGCGGTTTCTGTCAAATGCAAAATGCTGTGAATATAATAACCTAAGACATCTTTATTGTAACAGAGGCAATACAAGAACAACATGTAATTTAAAGTGTGGCAATACTACACTAAATCTTTGCGCTAATCATCTGTAAACGTTTGCCTCGCCTGTAATCGCTTGGTAAAATTTAACATTTGCATCTGTTCTCCATAAACCAAGCACATTGATCCAAATAAGCTTACAAATGACAATGCAGCTATTTTGCCCCTTCCTTGTGGATGATTTGCTATTTGCATTCCAAGCTTCAAGAGTTGCAAAGGTGCTGTGGGCGGAGGCACATTGAAGCCCAGTTTTGCTGCAGTCTGCAAAATTGTATGAGATTAAACACCTAAGGTTTGTTGTAATTGTGTCAATAATAAGAGGGAAAATTATACTAACCATTGAGGCTGTGACAAGACCCATAAAAACAGGTATTATTGCACCTGCAACGAATTGAATAGCTCCAGCTTTAAGTTCTAGGCAAATTGGACAACCAGGCTCTTGTAATAATATAGGTGGTAGAACAAACTGTCGAAAGCATCATAAAGACAAAAATAAGGGTTGTTATTTTTAATAGAGTAACACGGAAGAGAAGGAGTAACTCATCTGCTATACAAACCAAATATTGATAGGTGTACGTGGTAATCGCAGGGAGAGATCCACATGTCAAGCTAGAAGTAAATGCTACTTCCTTTCTCAAACCAAAAGCTCTGCGGTAATACTTTAAACACCAAATACCACTAAATGCCGCTAACATTCCATTTAATGCAACTCCATACTTGAGTAAATATCTATGAAACAAAAAAATCCTGATCACATTTGATTTATCTGGTTATTATTTGATGAGTTATAGGAGATTACTTACACATGAGATGGAGTGTCATGGTCGCGAACTAAATGATAAACATGATTAATTGCTTCTTCTCGATTAAACGTAACCGCACCCTGTGGTATATCTTTTACCTTTGCTTTTTGCATTTCGTGTCTAAAATTAACGTGGAAAGAAAAATGAGGAATTTAGATTATTAAGATTAAATTAGTTTCATTTAAATATCTTCATAACCTTGCATACCGGTAGCAAAGAGGCAAATATTGTGACAAGAATTCACGGTTACCTTCTGACAACTTACGTTTAAGACGAGTAAAGTGATAGCGTTACCCGTTATATATTTATGAGTTCAAATTAGGAAGACCACACAAATAACGAAACCCTTCTGTCCGTGTGGTTTTCGTCTGCTAGCCAAATCAACCGCGTTCTGCCTGAGAAATGTCTCATACTCCAGCGTCGAGGTATCGAAGTCACGAATATCGATATTCCCAAGGTCTAGGTTTTTCCTTTCACCGCAAATTCGGCTGCTTGCTTAAATGCCATCTCAAAATTTACCAACCAAAGGCTACCCACGACTCATACGGGGGACACAATCGTAGCGATTTACTGAAGAATTTTTCACACAGGAAATCAAAATGGCAAACTGGAAGGCAAGTCAAATTGTTCTTTTATATTTAAGTTTAATCAAAGTGACAACTGTACCCATCTAACCTGTAGAATCCTCACCATTGTATTTAGTTCATGTATCATTTACAAATATTGTACTTACCATTATTGGCTTTAATCTCCATCAAGTGTTTGAAGCTATTCCCTTTTATTTTACTTTTGTTTCCTTTTCCCATCATCATTATTTTCTATGAATTACCCAATGTCAAATAGCGATAGTTAAAGTCAATTTCTTACTTTCAATCAGGTCAATAAACATGGCTCTTTTGAATTCTTACAGCTCCTGAGATCAATGCTCATTCCCAGGAATATGGCACTGGCCGCAGTTCCCATTGCTGTCAAATCAAAAGAAACAGAAAAGGATAAGACAGCAATTCGACCTAGTGAACTCCCTATCTACGTGGATGAAATTAAAAGGTAAAAGCAAGACTACTAGCTTGTAAAGAGATGTTAGTTTGTTGTATTGTAATTAGCAAATTATAACACCTAAGGGGACATCTATTGTGAACAAAGATATTTCTCTGCAAGACTGGCAAACCCCAGTATTGTGTTCTAGTTGATTTGGTAAAATGAGACGAGAACTGGTTTGGTTTTGACAGTTTATTGCTATAGCTAAGAGCTGAGGAGGTGGGGTGGGCTCAGTGGAGAAGGAGATGGTATTTATTCCCACTGTTTCCTCCTCATTTTCCTCCTTAGTCCTTCTCTTAAATAATTTGCAAACATCAACACTAATATTTTCTGTGTCATTTTGTCCAATTTTAGACAAGTGGTTCCGGAACAACACAGTGATGAAGTTAGTTCAATAGAAGAAGCAGTTGGAACAGTAAGGAAAGAGCTTTGTTCTCTTGTCAGCGAGGTAAACAGCCTTACCAGCAAGGCCTCTTCAGTTGTTAAGGAAAATATGGATGCTTCCAATGGTTAGGATTAAGTTGTAACTATGTATTTCATTCATTGCACTTTACCAGATGCTTGTTTAAAAGCAGTGTACCTTGAGTAACTCATATCTATTTGGTTTTAGAACTCCTTGATTATTTGAAGGAAGAGGAGAATTTTCTTCCCAGATCTGGAGCAATTGCTTTGAGTGGTCTGACAGGTCTTGTCCTTGGTATACGTAAAGGATTTTTCAAGCGTCTGATCTATATGACAGTTGGTGCTGGAGGTATGGCTTCACTGTGTTATCCTAAGGAAGCAGAAGAATACTTCAATGAAGCTCTAGTTGAGGTCCGAAAGTATGGTCTTATAGGTCACCATCTTGCTACTTCAAGTAAGTACCATCTAAAACTATCCCTATCTTCTACAATTAGAATTTGTGACTCAGTTATGCAATATTTCTTTTAACAGTTTTGGATGATTTACGTGGATCATCTGCAGAGTCTAATGATTCTCCCAGGGATGGAAAGGATAAGAAGTGAGACTATTAACTGATAGTGCTCCTTTTTTAGCGATGGCTGTGTAAAATTTCTAAGAACTCCTGCCTCCTGATCCTGATCTTTGTACTTCCTCCCATCTCTAGAACCGTTCCTGACTATTGTAATACTTCTCATGCCATCCTCTCTCCTCTCCCCAGATCCTTAATGTCAGATATGGAGTCTTTTCTGGTCGCTTGTTGTTGTTTTGTTGTTGTCATGTTCTTTCAGGTTTGCAGTGGTATATTATTTAACTTGCAAAGACCAAAATGTTGTTGGGTCATTTCTTGAGACAGGACACTGCAGAAAACTAGTGAATGAGGAGGCTGAAGGTCTTCAATATTTTCTAAGGTTCATTTGTAAAATAGTGTTTTTGTTTTACTGCCAATATTAGTCTTTTTCTGACGCTTTCTGATCCTTGTGCTAATTTTTTTTCAATAAACTGTTGGAGAGAATAAGTACCAAAGTGTAAAGGCTTGTGTTAGTTAATGCCCTAATCATGAAAATAGTAAAAAAAATTATATTTCCAAGGCAAAAATTTGTTTGACCTAATCCATCCATACAGGCTACACCTTTTTCGACGATGAAAGCACTGATCAAGAAAATTGGGGTTATGAGGATGAATACACAGATGAATTTGACTATCCATCTCTACCACCTCCTATAGCAGAGGGTGCAGCTGAGTCTGTAATAGAGCACAAATATGCACTTGCCTCAGAGCAGAATAATAGGTGTGTCGAGTCAATTCCTTCCCTGGAGCACTCACACACACACACCTGACTTCTCCAAAAGTAAGTAAAATTCAAAGTGATTATTCTAGTAGCTCTTGTGCTGTAATCTAATTATGTACTCATATTGATGACAGGTTATATCTTACAACACTGATTCCTGAAAATATCAATTTCAAATCATTAATGGCTAATTTCAATAAATACCTTCATAAAAAAACGGCTATAAATTTTATTATTTTATTTCCTTGTTCCTGTCTTTACTTAAGATAACAAAACTTCATGAACAGAAGTGCATTGACTTCAACGAAGTGGAGCAGCAGGATTTTGACAAGATGTGTCACTATTGCATAGCATTTTGAGTACGGTAATGATAAAACTAATGGATTACTGTATAAGAAAGATATTGACTCAAAGGAGAACATTGCAAGGAAATACGAAATAACCTAAACAGACACGTCAACATAGGGTATATACTATAGCTACACATGAAAAACAAGGTGTGTTTAGAGCAACAACTTAAAAAATAAAAATTAAAAAAGAATCAAAGAAATAATTTTAATCACATACAGCTTTGGTCTTTGTGTAGGGATTCAACCCCTTGATTAATAGAAAAAATATTTGGCAAATAAATATGAGAAACACAAGAAGACAATATAGCGATGCGCTCAATCTGAATGAATTCAAATTACAAAGCAGAAAACTACTTTCACAAACAATTGCAATGATAGCAAAAAAAATTTTTTTTGAAAGGAACACTAGGTTAATGGTGTAGGTTGTAACTCTGATGCAAATCATATTGCAAATCAATCTGGTCAAACAGCACAAAGCATCATGCATTGAGCAGGTATTGCACCTCTACACTAAAAAAAACAAACTTTCATTTCTCACAAATTGGTACCTATTACCTAAAGAAATAATAGTATGTATCAACGAAAACTGGCTTAAGAAGTACCCAATGTAAAGGTAATAAACGTCAATTTTGTTTTTCACAACAGACTTCATCCATCATTGATGGCACTCATCAGATATAGAAATGGACAATACCAGAAATAAGTAATAAGGTTTCATGTAAATGTATTCATCTGTTTCAGGAAAACTTTCTTGAACAAATAATAGACTAACTTTTGCTTGATGGATAAGGGTGGGATTAATTTCATATCTTTACTATCCACATGGCTTGTCAAAGAGTAAAACAGAAAATTTGAGAAAACAGGAGACTAGAGCAACCACCAAGAAGGTAGATTATGAAACTAAAGAAGTTACAGTAATGAAACACACATCTAGGATTATGTTGTCAGAGTAAACTCTTGACATCTGTACATGATTTGGAGGAAGAAACTCCTTTCAATTTAGTGTTTCTTAAACTTAACTAAAATTACCACACAATCCAATACTCTAAATTGTAAAGCCAATACCCTTATTTCTTAAGGGTCTTACATCTCAACTTAAGAAATACAAGAAGAACTCCATTTAATTTGACCTTATAGGTCCAAATCTAAAGTGAAAAACATACATGAGAAATTAAAACTCTTCAGAAATAATTTAATCAATCTTTCCTATAGTACAAGTCTCTTTTACTTTCCTTACACTGAGTGAATGACTTTGTCACAACATGCTTAAATATTACCGGTACCAACATATGGGTAAAGGCCTTGTTCTTCTACATTAGAGGAGGGGGATGAAGGAGGACAATTTTGTTCCTCTTCCGCAAGTTGTTCAGAATAATAATGAGGAGTACTCAGGTAGTCAAGAACTCGCCGAGGTAAGGGGAGAGATGAAATTAGATCCCTCCTCACAACTTTTAAAATTACAAACCTGAAACAATTATGATAAAGATAAAACTTTATTGTCTATGGCACACATTCTCTAGAGTGAAATGACATTACTTACCTGCACATATGCTGTAAGCTTTGGACCTGTTTGAAGCGGGAAACAGGATGCAACAACTGAACCCTCATGGGTCCAAGAACAGGACGGCGATGGAGGAAGAATAGGTAACGCCCAGACCGAGAGTGCTCAACAGCATTTTCAATAAAGTCTACAATTGTGTGGCTTTTGAATTTTGTACAACTTCCAAAGCTGAAGTTACCTGCAAGATAAAAATTCACCGTTAAACATTTTAAGAGCTCTGTCTGCCTTTTCAAAAAGAAATACAAAAGAAGACAGCCATTAATAATACCTTGATCTTGCTCAATACGAACATGCCGTACACAACTATTAAGTTTAAATGTGAGTGAAAATATATAGTGGTCATCACTTGAGTCACGGACAATGAAGGATCCATCAGGTTCATTTGATAGAATTTTCTCAGCCGCTTCTCCCGAAATAGGACCCCAGTACCAGCCATACTACAAATAAGGTTTAATTATAGATCTAAAATTCAACTAGGGCACAGGTATGATAAGTTAAAACAACTTACATCTTTCACTTTTTCAATACTTGATGCAAAATCAACACTTGGTTCACCCTCATTGAGAATTTCTTCTTGAGCTACAGGTGCTTCTTCACTTGAGGTATTCTCTTGCAAGGGAATGTCTCGAGCAGGAAGTGGTGGCAAGGCCCTTGTAGAAAATCGAGCCTGCAAGATGTACAAAATTTAATATGATAAAACAATGCTGAAACTAAAAAATAAAAACTCTGATTGAAATGAAGTCTTAACAAACAACCACTAACAAAATTCAGTACCTTCTGTTGACACGTAGAATTGACTGTATTTCCATCAACACCATCTGAGATATCATCAATACCTCCCCCAATTGTTCTCCTTCTGCCAGGTGCATGCTCAGGTGAGATGAGACGACGGATTCGGAACATGTTGCAGAATGTCTGCTTTAATGTAGATGAAAAACTCATGCCTCTTTTGGGCTTCCCTTCTGGAATGAGCATGCAGTCAGATCCTTCAGGACTAGCCAAAACCAATGCATCAGCATTGTCTTTACATTTTTTATTCCTGACATTGATACTGAAAGTACTTTTTCTGTTAGATTTCATGATTGGATTATTGTATGTGACATTGAGGTTGTCATCTATGTTTTCTATTGTGACATTCCCATCAACTCGTTTGTTCTTGGACAAATTAGGTAGCCGTGACTGCAAACACGTAGTTGGTTTCTTGCGATATTCTGAGGAATCACTAGAACTAGAATATAGAGAGGACAGGTAACGTCTCACTTCAGCTAAAGTCATGTGTATTGGTTCCCCTGGAGTGGCACATTCCATACTGGCTGATCTTCCTGGACGATTATGCCTTTTCTGTACAGCTTGTTCAGGTAGCAACACTCTGGGCTGAATCATAGTATGACTAGAAACTGTTTTGCCTTTACTAGACTCTATTTCTGATTTCTCTGATTGTTTTCTTTTTCGTCTTTGATGTCTTTGTCGCTTTTGACGCTGAGGTGGTACTGGAACAGGTGGCCGCACCATATCAACTGGTACAGCATAAACATCACAATCTACTGGGACATTATACATGTCACATATGTCTCCTGTGGATAAAACTTCATGAGACATAGCTGACGTAATAAAACTGGAGTCATCTACCCTGTTAGCTGCAGGGACAGATAGTGAATTGTGAGAGCTGGACAGTCTTGATGAAAGAGAGCTTCTAGATGCAGGTCTGCAAAGCAGGTATGGCAACTCAGGTGTCCAGCAATAACGTAAACCTAGCGACTGTTGTCCTTCAGATGAGAGTGAAAATTTTTTCTCACTTTTTCTTCTTGGGTGGCAGTCTTCTGAACAGTGGATGGACCACGAAACTTCCCCTGATACCAAAAGGGCTTCTTCTAAAACCTGTAAAATATAATGCTGTACTAGAACTCCAAGTTGTGTTGACACAAATAATTGAGTCAGCTGATTGTTACCTGTGTCACCATTTTAACAGCCATTTTCTCAAGCCATTCTGGTACTCCAGGATGAAGACGTGCAGGTAACACTCGAGCTGGGGTTATGGCTGAAGCATGAGGACGTATTGATCTCCCTAAAGTCACCTGAGGTGAAGTGAATGGAGAATCCTGTGGAGTACTTGAATAAGGAGATGAATCCTGAAACTCTGGTGGTGGCTTGATAGCAAGAGGCTCCGACCATGATGATAAGTCATTGGATGAATCATAGGTTTTTTCACAATGCAGAGTACTTGGAGTTTGAGATTGCGAATCGCATGCCATTGTGCCACTGAGTTTTCCTCCACAAGAACTCAAGTTTCCTCTGCACATAGTATGTGAACTACAAAAGGAGCCAGTTAAAAGAGATGACTGCTCATCTTTGTCATTTTCATGCTGTAAGGAGGAATTCAAATTAATTTCACCATCACTTTAAAATAATGAAATAATCAAATGTAAGTGATGAATTTGAAAATACAACCAACCTCCATGGGGATTTTGGTTAATGGTGGCAGTCAGATGACAGTGTGCATAGGCAATAGTAACAAACTAGCATGCTGAAAAGAAAAATAGAAAAACATGGATTAAATATTTATTTTTTGTGCAAAATTGTCACATATATTTTACGGCTAACATTAATATATTTGTTTGCAGACTGAGGGAAGAGGGCAAATTGCAGGTAGATGTTGCAAGAAAGGAAATTACATTTTGACAAGTCATTTGAATGACCAAGAAAAAAAAACAGCAAACAGAAAAATCGAATTTATGACTTAATTAAATAAGTATGCAACTTTCTAGGTCAAAATTAAAATTGAGGGCGACGTCCCCTAGACTAGAATGAAAATAAACCAGTATCCTCACAAATCACTAGCACAACGCTTGACACGATTAAGCAAATGAGAACTATTCCGACTACTCAAAAACCACAGAACATAACAGAAATATGTGAGCTTTACCTAGGAGAACATTCACATGCACTCTCAAACACAATAAAATCATAATATCATACATGAATCCATTTTAATCATCGTTCGAGACAGAGTTTATTTTTCTTAACCTTCCATCGCCATATTGAAACTGCTTCTCTTTTTGTTTTTGTTTTTGTTGTTGAACGCCTAGCCTCAGCTTCAAGTCCAAGTAGGGAAGTAAGAGAAGTAAGTAAGCTTAAGTTGTTTGATATAAATTTACTAGCTACTCTTGCAATTTATCTCTTTAAATCACTTGAAAACAATTGTTGTTTCTTACACCAGATATTGTTAGTCCGTATTTCTATCTTTTTTTCGTCTGCTGCATGTTCCGCTTGACTGATTTCTCATATCAATTATGCTGTGGTAGTGGGGGAGGGGAATTTTGTGGAGTTGGAGTGTTGGAGCTGTACTATGTTTACACCGCGGAGGCTAGCCCGTGCTATGTCGGTGGTGGGGGAAGTTGGCCCCGGCGTAAACGGCGCGGAGCCAGCGCTGGCCAGCCGCTCGCTAGCACGCGCTAGCCTGCCCCCCTCCACCGCTCTGCTTGGTCTAGCCCCGGAGTAAACGCGTTTCGCCCGGGCTATCTCCGGCTGGACTTTTAAAATACCCGATATTTGTGTATTGCACTTGGCATTTCGGTGTGGCTTTCGTACCCCAACAGGAAATAATTCCCCTATTCGACCCAGAGCTTCAATTCTCACTATCCTCTTCAATATACCTTGATATATCTAAGATACTGTAAATATTTCAAAAATTGTTGCTATCACGTATATCCTAAAGATAAATGATGTGAGTAGTAAAGAGTTAAATATTTTACACCCGCTGATTTGCAAACCGTGTACCGGGAGAAGTATTTTACCCTAAAATACTTGGTTTGATCGTCGAGATTTGAAAACCGCGCTCTTTTTCATCAGCTGGCCCACACGGGGTAAACGCACCGCCGCCAGCCCGGGCTAGCGCTGGCCAGGGCCAGCGTTCTACGGCGTAAACATAGTACTGATGCTTGCCCCAGGCGTTCCACTTCAAGCAGAACGTTACACGTCATGCGAAAATATTTAATTTTTCGGTCTTGCTGACGTTCTATTTGCTCTAGACACACTAATCCTTATGCTCGACTTGAATGTTGGTGCGTTTGAAGTTCACGACAATATATCATTAGCCGTGGTTAAGACATATGGGACTACCTTCTTGTACCTAACCACACTTTTATTATCCTAACCAGAATTTATTGGACGAAGATTTTAATTTCTTCACCGAATATTAGTCTGTTGTCGCACTTTTTTCCACGATGGCTAGCCCTAGAACCCGACGTGTTCTTCAGGGACTCAAAACTGGTGATGAAAACAACGTAAGTTGATCGAAGTTTCTGACACTATGGAATGCAAGTTACAAAATAAGCTAGTGTTCTCATGAACATTTTCAAATGTCAGTTTTAAATCAAAAGTATATATTTGTATTGCATGCCTATCTCTACGTGTGATTTACAGAAATGCTTTGAGTGTGGTGCTTTCAATCCTCAATGGGTATCCGTTACGTATGGAATATGGATCTGCTTGGAATGTTCAGGCAAACATCGAAGTCTTGGAGTTCATCTCTCTTTTGTTCGTTCCATCAGTATGGACAAGTGGAAAGATATCGAGTTAGAAAAGATGAAAGTAAGTTTTTTTTTTCAATTGTACTGCATTTCTCTGTTTTCTTATTTTTGTTTTTAAATTTCATTTTATTCTTCTTAGGCTGGTGGTAACAGAAATGCGAGGGAGTTTTTGGAGGCACAAGATGACTGGGATGACTCCATGCCAATTCAACGACGCTACAACTCAAAAGCTGCAGCTCTATACAGAGACAAGGTTGATGTTCAGTGGAACAATTCAAACCATGTACATCTAGTCTTTTACCATGGAACTATTTTCTTATTAGTACATTTGTACATCCATGTTCACAGATTAGTGCAGTAGCCCAAGGAAAGGACTGGAGCCCAACAAAGTCACCAGCACAGAACTATACTAGTCCATCCATGAGTAGGTAAGGAAATTTGCATTGCTCTGGTAATTGAAAATCAAAATAATCTTATTAAACTGCAACTGTATTGAGTAGTTTTGTTGTTTCTTCTAATTGATTATAGGAGCTCAAGTAGTCTGACTGACAATGGAAGCTATCATTCCAGCAGTAACTATAGTGGTTCTTCTAGTTCTTATCAATCCAGTGGGTATCAATCAGGTGGTGGTGGCAGTGAAGGCTACCATAGTGCTGATCAATTTAAAAATGACAAAGAAGCATTCTTTGTCCGTAGGCAGATGGAAAATGCTGGAAGACCTGAGTAAGTTTTCATTCACAAATTATTTAACTATAATATTGGGTTTTTGAAGGTTGAATTTTTTGCTTCGGATTTTCCATAATTTCAAGTTACCTAATTTTCACAGCCATATACCTCCTAATCAAGGTGGGAAGTATTCTGGATTTGGTTACACAATGGATGCACCACCGCGCAGCACATCTCAGGAATTCTTTGATACAGCTGTATCTTCACTCTCTAGTGTAAGTGATATTTGAATTGTAAAGAGCTAAGATATCCAATCAATAAGTTTCTCAACAATCCAAAATTTCTTTACAGGGTTGGTCTCTCTTTTCTTCTAATGCATCCAAGATAGCAAGCAAAGCTACAGAAAATGCTTTTAAAATTGGAAGTATTGCCTCCCAGAAGGTTACTGAAATTGGTTCATCTGTTGGAGAGAAAGTAAGTCTTGCAATTCAATTTTATTTTTATTTTTCTAATTGGGAAGAAGGGGGGGGGGTCATTTTCTTTTATCAGCCACAGTTATTCTGCTTTTGTAATAATGCAATGAATGCTGTATGTAATTATTTTGTCCTGTCTGAAACATTTTGTCACTTCAGTTCTCAGAATGTGCTCTGCCTTTGGTAGTTTATTGTTATAGCTTTAGAATTTTAGAGCTTTAGCTCTTTAGATTATCCTTTTGTACTTTGTAAAAGTCAAATTAGTATTTCTGATTTGCTATGCTCCATTCATATCTCAATGTTGCATGGTACCTTCTTTCTCTCCTTTTTTTTTAATTTTTCAAAAATTTTATTTTAGGTGAAAGATGGAAACGTCATCGACAGCATGTCTTCTCAGGTTTTAAATTTGGCTTCAAAGGTATGGTTTAGTTTGCATTTTGTTTTTTAATTTACTTACTTATTTTTTAATACTACTAGTACTAGTACATTAATAACAAGTTTAAATTGATCTGAGCCATGCTTGTTTGACTATTGTGCACAGCCATTAACTCTATTTTATCTGTTTGTACATCTTGCTCTTACTTTTCCACCTGTGTGCATTTAATACTGTGCTATTTGCATCTCACTGCAATGCTTTTGCTGTATGGTCATAAGATAAAAAGTTTATGTATAATGCACTGGGACTTTGGCCTTTCTTTTATTTCTTTAAGGTCTCCGCCTTTATCTTGATGTTTCACATTGTTTTAGATGGGAGACTTAGGAAGAAAGGGATGGCAAGATATAGCAGGAACCAACTCTGAATTGCCTCCACCAGGCCAAACTCCAGATGGAACAGAGAAGTCCTCTTTACTTATTGATGGAACACACAGGTAAGTTTGGCCATGGTTTGACACTGGAAATTACCGCGAATGTGAAAAGAACATTTATGGGATAAAGCAAGTAGATTTGTTCAACTTCTTACTATGCTAAGATCCCTTTCGAGTATCAGTATACTAACATACATTTTCCTTTATTACCAGACCTCTAGGCCAGAGAGACAGCAGTGCTCCACTTCTAAATGAAGGTGGTAGTTCTCGACGCAAATCCGCTGGAGGTTCTCGGGACAAAAGAGACCAAGTAGATGATGAGTGGGGTTGGGGTGAAAATACGAGGTAAACAGTAATTTCTGTTGTGTGTGTTCTTTTTTTTTTTTTGTTGTTACAATTATTTTTTTCTTCTTGTTTCTCCTTGATAATGTTTTGTTTATTTTTGTTTTGTTTTTGTAGCAAGAGTTCTGTTTCTCCTTCATCTCCAGTTTCTGAGTGGGACAATTGGGGGTCTGGCAACAACGAAACAGTGAAGGAGCGTGAAAGTAGTGGCCGTCATCATAAAAGAAGTAGTAAGAAAAAGTCATCATCTTCATCAGGAGCATCATCATCTAAAGGCGCTAAACAGAGTTTACTAATTGATTTTGCAGAAGAGAAGAACAGCGCCAGTGGTGACTGGGGTAAAGAAGGCACTGAAGAGGACCCTTGGGATATTCTCAATAAGTAAAATGGCTAAATTGGGTCTATGCTTTTGGGTTGCTTCCAAATACCTCAAATGCCTGTGTATCATGTGTGTTGTCATTCCTTTATGTGCTTTCCAGAAACCTACCCTTTGCGTGTTTTATCAAGCTCTCTAAAAATTGAAAGCTTAGCTCTATTGACTGTTCACTGTTTGCTTTTTTCTATTTCTTCATTTCTATGACAGCTTTCTTTTGTTTTAGAAGTTTACTAATTTGACTTTTTGAAATATTTCACAGATAAGCACAGTAATACTGTTGCATCAACCATGTCTCCTATATCCATGCCAATGTTTTAAAGCAATTATCTTTTAGTAGCTGTGCTACTTTACAGTTAGATCTCAAGATATTAAATTCCTAATCATATCTGAAAATGTGTGTAGTGATGTAAGTAAAGAACTGCATTTCTGTCTCACACTTTTTTCTGATCATTCAATTACAATTGTTTGTATTGTAAGGGCTTATCTTAATATCTTAGTCATATGTTACATTTGAATGTGTAAGTCAACTTTCAGGGCTGATCACATTAGTTGATTTAAAAACAAATACAGCCTGGCCTCCAAAAAACTTAGTGAAATGTGTATTGTATAATTTTCTTTGATATTTCTCATATGTATTGTGTGTACTTGTTATTGGCTTTGAGGCATGTTAATGATTTGAGAACATCAAACATTGCCTTTTAGATAGTTAAAATTGATCTGAATGATTAAGAAAGACATTACGTATTACATCAATAATGCATCCTAAAATGATTGTTTATACTGTAGAATTTTTTTTCGGTAGAAAGTTCATTCCATTTTACTGTTAACTTGTTAAGACACACTGGTTTTGGCAGTTGTATTGTTGTTTGTTGTACCATCAAAGTCAAAAGTGTCCAGTGTCAATATGCTGCTCATCCAGCACTATTTTATGTCTGTTTAGCAGTGAATTGCTTCGTGGAAACTTTTGCTTTTGATGTTGTGGTCATCTTTCTAGATACATTAAATACCATGAGTATGAGCCTTGGTATGCATTGTGGACTTATATATCATTTGGTAAAATTGTTATAGATGACTTCAAT